TTTTTTTTTTTTTTTTTTTTTTTTTTTGGTACCGGGAATTGAACTTGGGTCCTTGCGCTTGCAAGGCAGGCCACCAAACCGCTGAGCTAAATCCCTGGCCAATTTTTTTCTGATTAGGAAATTAAATACTCCTTTTGAGATATATGAGTGAGACACTGAGAGACAGAGGTAAGTAGACAGAAGGAGGTGGGGAAGGAGAAAGGAAGAGGAAGAAACAGAGAACAGAGGGGAAGGGAGGAAGGAAGGAAGGAAGGAAGAGAGGGAGGGAGGGAGGGAGGGAGAGAGAAAAGGAAGGGAGGGAGGAAAGGAGGAAGGGAAGGAGCGAGGGACCAACCAATAATTGCCATAAGATTGAGAGCAGCTCAAGCTGATGGAAAAGAGTAACAAGTCTCTCAAGATGGTATTTATGATCTTTCTGTGTTATCAGTTTCATTTTGAAAATGCTTTTTAGGGCCGGGGATTTAGGTCAGTGGTTCTGCCACCTGCCTCATAAGTACAAGGACCTGAGTTCAATCCCCGGTACCAAAAAAAATAAATAAATAAATAAAATAAAAAGAAAATGCTTTTTAAAAATCATTTTAAGACACAATATTGTGACTAATCTTTCACATTTACCGATTGCTTCACATTTCCACAGTCACAGTTCTCCCCAGGACAGATCAGTCTGATGTTGTGATGTGATACAGGGTAGATACCTGCTGAGAACTGGGGGCTCCTGTTCTCCCTTCTTCCCTTCCAGCATGTGCTCTGGCTTAGCTTCGATCACTGTTAATATTTCAGTACCTTTCATCTATATTTTCATCTACATACTTTATAAATGGGGACTTCACCAAACACAAAGGTCTGCTTATATTATAATCATTTCCCCACTTGGTTATAAACAATTTGCAAGCACCAATTTTAATGCTATATCACACTGCATTATTTAGATGAACCAAACTTTATTGAAACTTTCCCCTAATGATTGGCATTTTAGATTCTTCCTAGTGTTTCATTTTAAAAAATAATGTTTCAGTGAAGACTTCTGAAAACAAGAGGTCAAGTCTCTTTTCCTCAGTCTGGATTCACTTCCTGTGGTTTTTAACTGGTAAATCACATTACCCTTGAGCCTCACCTTTTGACCAATGGAGCAGGGACAGCATTAACACTGTTCAGAAGCTGTTTTGAGGACTTCATGGTTAATGACAAAGACAAAGCCTAGTGCACAGCAGGTCTTAATGTTGGTGACTCTGAATAATGTAAAAGAAAGATCCTACCTTCTCCAACTAACCATGAATGTCTTCTATTTACAGAGCCCTTCTGGAGAGTGACAGATCTCTAAGGTGCCAAAGGAAATGCTGTGATCTAGACTCTCAGGCCTCCTGGTTGGAGTGGGCGTCTCGCTGGGCAGAGGTCTGCCAGATACATACTTTCAATCCCACATGGAGGGAAGACCCAGCCTCAGCCTTCTTTCCAAATGGACTCCAGCAGACTCCCTATATCATATCCCTTTAATCCTCCCATTAATGAGCTTGGGAAAGGGTTGACAAGGCCCCAGTGGGTTCCAGGCCCAGGGGACCTTCTTGGGCCCACTAATCTGCCTAGTATCTCTACTGGGCACAGTGTGAGACCCCTTTTTCATTTTACTTCTTTTCCTGAGGTCCAGGATGAAAGAGATGAACCAGCTTCCATCAACTTTGGGAATGATAATGTATGGCCAAGTTAGAAGGCTTAATTTTCCCATTTTATAGAAAGAGAACTCAGGCTACACAAAGCAGACAGAAATAGGCTTCAGAGTCAGCCAGACTTAACCTCAATTTCCAACTCTACAGTTTCCTATGAGTTGTGAATATTTAGTAGACCTGGGCCTCAATGTGCACCCTTTAAAGTAGGTGAGCTGAACTTCCCATGTGGTGGGGCTGCTGCTGTGTAAAGGGGCTCCTTGATGAGCATCAAGTACTACCCAAACTGGAGCATCTTCAGCAGCTCCATGAGGAAACTAAGGCTCAGAGAGGGATAGAGGCTTGTCCAAGGTCACATTGCAGCTTGGTCATGTTGACGGGATTAAACATCCTAAAGAAAGGTCAGCAAGTACTCACCTGACCATGGGGACACTGTGAGATTTGAAGAACAGTGACAGCAAACCTACAGGAACAGAGACATAGTTTGGAGTTCTTGCTTCCCTCCCAGCATGATCCCACAAGCAGATGCTATGAAAACAGCCCAGGTCCCGCTGGCCTGGACTTCCCCTCCCTCCCTGCACTCCTTGGGAAGGCTGGCTCCCTCCCAAGTTGGGCTCATGACAAAGTAAGTGCACACTAAGTTCACTTAATGTGTCCTAATAGAGCAAACAATCTCAGAAGCTTCGTGGGCACAGGAGGAAGATTTATGAAGCTCATCCACCCTCCCCACATCATTCAGGTGGGACATAGAAGACAAAGGATGTGTCCAGAGTCACACACAGACACACTGGACACACGGACACACTGGTGGAGTCAGCACCAAGATCCCAGTCTCCTGACTCTATGGCCTAGGGAGACTCTTTCTGCCTCTTCACAACTGCTCTGAAGTCATGAGTCTCAGGACTTTACCCCATTCAATGCACTTTCCTGGTCATGTTCAAAATTAGTCCTCATGCTCCCACAGTACCCTAGCCACCAAGTAATTCCCACCACCTCTTCTTGCTGGGTCAGAGCCTGTCAGAAGCTCATGGAAGAGGTCCTCCATGTCTAACCCTGATACTTTCTGTTTAAATTTCTAAGGAGCACATTGATGAAACTTTGGGATTGTTGCTCCTGCTGTGTCAGTAGCTCGTGAGCCCCTGCTGGTCATTGGTCATCCCTGACAGATGGGGCCAAAGGACCCTTGCTCACAGAAAATGCCGGACAAAAGAGGCAGCCTCACCAAGGGAGTTGGGGGCAAATAAATGAGCCTCCAGGGCCAGAGAGTGGAATTGTTCCTCAGTCAACAATTGTCCCTTGATGCTAGCTCAATGCCAGGTCTTGCAACATGAAGGCGAAGCAGCTTTCGATCTGGTGGGAGCCATAGTCCATGATCAAACAATAAGTGAATGTTTAAACTTAAAAATATGTATTAAATATATATTACAATAAAAGACACACTGCTATTAATCCTCCTCAAAATCCTCTCTCCTGTGCCTTAAACACATTTATCCTATCAATATTGCCACTTTCTGAAGCAGTTCTGGTCTGGAAATTCTCTTTTGTGAGTGTCTTTAGTTGAGCTGTTGTGGCTGCCACTGTGTCCTGAATTGATTCAAAATATTTACCTTTCATGTTCATTTTGATTTTGGAGAAGAGCTGGAAGTCATATAAGGCCAGATCTGGTGCATATGGTGAAAGAGTGTACACTGTAATGTTATTACAGGACTGCTTTTTGTTGGATGGCACTTGGCAAAAGCATTCGCTGTATTTTTGATCACTCCTCATAAAGACACTTACACGAGAGCTTCCAGAACTGCTTCAGAAAGTGACAAAGAAATCCAAGTGTGATGGTCATGCCTATTATCCCAGCACTCAGGAGGCTGAGGCAGAATGATCATTGTGAGCTTAAGGCCAGCCTGGACTACATGGTGAGAACTTGTCTCAAAAAAAAAAAAAAATAGGCAAGAAGGATGGGATAAGTGTGTTTGAAGTGAAGGCTGAAGAAAGGATTAATAGAAGTGGATTTTTTACTATAATACATTTTTAAAATTCAGACACACACCATGTATTTTGATCACACTTCGTATTAGTTTCATTTGGTTGGAGGTGTGTATTGACCCTGTTGAGGTCTGGAGAGAGTGAGGAAGAGACCAGGCTGGGATGGTCCTGAATGCCAACCAAAGACACATGAACTTTCTCTGAGGGTCCCGAGAGAAAACACGATAGTGTTAAGAGGAAGCATCAGACAAGTTTCTACTTCCCCCAGTGGGACCCTCAGCAGTTTACAGAAATAATTTCCTAAATCCCTCATTTTGGGGGATACTCTAATCATGAACTGTCTTGTGAGGCAGACAGAATGCTGACCTTCAGAAGCCTCAAATGCATTCCAAGAAGGCACTACAATGGGACTGTGGACAAGTCACCCCATGCTCCCTGGGCTCAGCTCTGGGCAAAGGTTTTCCAAGGGAAGTTCATAGATCACCACACACCCCTTGTTGAGGGTTCCACCACAGCCAAAGGAGTTGGGGAAGGCGAGCCGACGGTGTCACCTACCAGAGGAGGGAGTAGCTGAAGCCGAGGAGGGAGCTGACCAGGCGGAACTCTGAGGAGAGGCAGGCAAAGAAGGGGAAGTGGGACAGGCCAACTTCGAAACCTCCAATCAGAAGCACGAAGGCTGAAGAGACAAGAACAGGGAAGCTGTGAATTCCTCTCCTCACCTGTCTTGGAGGAGGCCCAGGGAAGCTGGGGGAGTTTCTTGATGACCTTGAGCCAGGGACCTCAGCACCAAGTGAGAGGAGTGAAGAGGCTCCAGTTCAAGCCAAAGAGGAATGCAGCAGTGTCATTCATTCCTTCCTGCTTGAGGGCCTCCCTAGTCTTTATTCTATCCAGGGCCTAGGCCTGCAGTTGAGATAAAGAAGACTTATCCTTACACTTGAGTGTGGGAAGCCAGCCATAGCCCACTGGCTTTTTGAAAGACAACATTTGTTCCTTTTTAAGGACTGCACATGTTAAACTTGTTTTGACCCTGCACGGGAGAAACACGGACAGCCAAAGATCTGTAGGAGTCAGGTGTTGTTAACTCCATTTTGTTATGTTAAAGATCTGATGTTATCTATAGGAGCAGGTATTGAGGTTACTATGGTAATCCTAGCCCATAATAGTTCGGTCTTTTCCTTTAAAAGGCTGATGCCTGCCTGCAATAAACGTCGCCTTGATCAGACTCTTGTCTTGGCGTCCTTCCTTTCTCTCTGCCCCATCTCCACCCCGCTGCTCTTTCAGGTTTGAGGCACTGCAGGACAGTGCTCTGCGTCGCCTGTTCTGTTCGCGACACTTGAGTAGCTCACAGTTGGACAGGTGGAGACAGACCACAGAAATGAGCAGGTAAAATGTGCTGGGAGGGAAGTGCACCATTAGCAACAGAGAAGTGATATGCTGTGTGTACCATAGTGTACTCTCCCTATAAGACAATAATCCTGCTGATCCTGCCACTAATTAGCTCTCAGGTGGCCTAACAGAACTAGGAAAATCTTCATGCAAGGTGACCTTTACTAAGTGTCCACTTTGAGCTGGGTCCTGGGCCATACACTAAGCACAGGAGGGACAAACCACATTCTTGCCTAGAGACAATGACAATCCAATGGCCAAGTCAGTGGTGGGAAATATACCACAACAGGGTTACATTCAACCTGTCATGGGGCACAGAAGAGCAAGCTGTGGGTCAGGTGATCAGGGGAGGCTTCCTAGAGGTGCTGACTTTTACAAGGCAATACCATAAAAGCAGGAGTTTGTTAAGATGGAGAGAAGTAAGGAGGGAAGGACCTTTCTCACTGGAAGGATAGATGATGGGTTGTGGCTGGCCAGTGTTTGGTGGTAGGAGAGACCAAAAAGTAATTGGTGTGAGAATAGCAGACACAGTGACAGTGTCTTCATCTCCCTGAACACCGCCCACCAGCAAAAAGCAGGTCAAGCAACTATGAACACCATAGGTCTAGATTCCAAGACCCGTTTGATAGCAACTTGTGAGTAGAGGAAGCAAAGGGAAGGTGAGAGGGTGACAAAAGGTCTGAGAACTGAAGAACTCAAATGTCCTGTAGGGACAGGCGGTCATAGCCAGGAAAAAGAATGAAAATAAGATCTCATTAAGCTTTATTAAAGAAATTAATGGGAAATCTTATTAAAGGCAGCTTTTTGCCTTCACAGTTAGACTGCAGCAATTAGAAAGACAAAAGTAAAGAGAGAAGCCAGAGCTAGGAAGGGGCCAAGTAACAAAATTAACATAAGAATTTGGCTGAAAGAATGGACAAGCACAACAGGGATGTAGCCAGGTGCCTGAAAGGCCAAGGTAACCAGCCTCCTCACGCACCTCTGATAAAAAGAGGACATAAGAAGCAGCCACATAAGGAACCTTATCTAATATATAAAATACACATGTGTCTTTTACTTAATCATTGACTCTAAATTACCGTTCTATAAGGCTCCCCATACATACACTTATCCATCACAAAGGGACAGGAAGAAATCAGACAGCCAGAAAGAACATAGATAGAGATGCCTAGAAGTGCTGAGGCTAGGATCAAAGACAGCCAGAGAGCCAATTAGATGGGGATGACTTCTAGGTGCCCACATGGTAGATGGGAGAAAACACTAGTCCTAAATAAAAGAGGTGGGGACAAAAATCCACAGGCATTCATTTCTGATGCCCCCGACTCTTTCAGAGTAGTTGTCTATCTTCCTTTTTTTTCTGTATTTTTCCAAATAAACCATCTTCTTTTATTTCAAACTCTGCCTCTTTAATTCATTACTGAAGCTGAGAGTTTACAATTCCAGTACTTGTGTGTTCCAAACTAGGAGTGGTGTGTACATCTCACTCTGCCACAAAAGTCCCAGAGACATTAACTGGAAACTGGGACTGAAAGTAGGCAAGGCATGAAGGCTGTGATGCATAGGTGGTTGTGAGCAGATCTCAGTAAGGGCTCAAGAGCCTAGAGTCATCTGGGCCCAGGAACTGACTACACTAAAAATAAGAACATGAAAAGGTGCTTAGCATCATTAGTCATTAGATAAACACGAGTCAGGACAATAAGATAACACTTCATACCCACTAAGAGGGCTGAAATAACAACACCAAAAGGGCCGGGGATTGGCTCAGTAGTTCCGCTGCCTGCCTTGCAAATGCAAGGGCCCAAGTTCGATCCCCAGTACCAAAATACAAAAACAAAAACAACAAAAAATGTTGGCTAGGATATAGAGAATTGGGGAATGCAAAAATAACAAAGGTCCATTTACCGTGGAGAACAATACAGTACCTCAAAACTTAACACAGTTTTGACCTAGTAAGTAACTCCATTGCTAGGTATATAATATAAACAAAAGAAGTAAAAACAGGGAGTTGGACAGATAACTGGTACTCAAATGTTCATTGCAACGTTACTTACAATAGCCAAAAGATTAAAACAATACAAGCGCTTACCAACAGTTGAATGGATTGACACACTGTGGTACACACTTACAATGGAGTACTATTTGGTCATAAAAGGGACTAAATTCTGATGCATGCTACAACGTGGATGACCCTTGGAAATGTTATACTAAATGAAACAAGCCAGACTCAAAGGGTCAAATACTGTAGGATTCCACTTAAAAGAAATGTCTAAAATAGTCAAATCCATAGAGATGTAAAGCAAATTAGAGGTTACCAGGGACTAGGAGGAGAAAGGGAAAAAGAGTTACTGCTTTCTGGCTAGAATTTAAGTTTGGGGGGATGAAGTGGTTTTGGAAATAAATATTTGCAGTGATTAGATTGTACAACATTGTAAATATAACTAAAATTACTAGGTTGTGTACTTAAAATGTTTTATGTTATATATATTTTACCACCATAAAATACTCTTTTAGTACCCCAATTAGCTTGGGACAACTTTAATAAACTAACAAATGTGTAAATGGAATTCTCACATGGGAAAGGAAGAAGAAAAATGTTTCAAGGAATAATGGCCAATTTTTTTCTAAATCTGAGGAAAATTAAAACGCAGAGATCCATTCAGTAAAATCCAAGCACAAGAAACATGTAAAAAATCGCTCCAAAGCACGTTATAATTGCTCAAGGTCAGTGTTATGAAAAAAGCAGGTTTTCCATTTTCAAACAAGGATGCTTGATCTGATTATTTGTATTTAACATTGTACTGGAGGTTCTACCCTGTGTAATTAGGCAAGAAAAAGAAATAAAAATTGCCTATATTGGAAAGGAAGAAACAAAACCGCCCTCCCCCCTTTTTTTTAAGATAATAGGATTTTCTATGTAGGAAATACATAGAATATGCAAAAAAAAAAGCTACTTGAAGTAATAAATGAGTTTAGCCATGTGTTAGCAATGAACGATCAAAATTAAAACAGAAAATAGATATAAATTTGACAAAAGATAAACTACAAAATATTGCTGAGAGAAATTAAAAGAACTCTGAATGGAGAGATACATTGTGTTAATGGATCAGAAGAGGAAATATTATTAAAATGATAAATCTTCCCAAACTGGACTACAAATTCGATACAATAACAATCAAAATCTCATCATTTTTTAGTTGAAGTTGGGAAATTTAGTCTAAAATTCATCTAGAAATGCAAAAGACCTAGAATAAAAAAAATAACTTTGAAAGTAACATAGTTTTTAAAAAAGTAACACAGTTGAAGGACAAATATCACCTGATTTCAGGACTTATTATAAATCTATTATAATCAAGACTATGGCACTGGTGTAAAGAGAGACAAACAGATCAATGGAACAGAATGAAAAGTCCCAAAATAGAACCACACCTATGTAGTCACTTTGTTTTCAAAGAAAGTACAAAAGCAATCAGTGGACAAAGGACAGGTTTTTGTAGCAAATAGTTCTGAAATACATTTATTTGGCTATCCAAAGCATATAAGAACTTCAACTTACATTTCACACTAATGCAAAAAAAAAAAAAAAAACCTTGAAATGTATCACACATATAAATGTAAAGCTTAAGATTATAACAGATCTTTAAAAACCATAGAAGAAAATCTACTAGAACTCAGCTAAGGCAAGGTTTTCTTATATGATGCATAAAATGATCTATAAAATAAAAACATTAGTAAATTGAGTTTTATCAAAATTAAAGATGTTAGCCTTTTGAAAGTCTGTTAGGAAATGAAAGTACAAGTCATGGACTGGGAGAAAATACACACAATTCAATTAATATACCTGACAATGTACTTATACCTAAAATATATTTTTTTAAAACTCTCTTTAAATGCAATTTTTAAAATCCAGTTTTTTGTGTGTGGTTTTTTTGTTTGTTTGTTTTGTTTTTGTTTTAAGACAGGGTCTCACTATGTAGTTGAGACTGACCTGGAACTCACTATGGCTGGTCTCAAACTCACAGCAATCCTCTTGTCTCAGCCTCCTGAGTGCTGGGATTAAAGGCTTGTGCCACCACACTGGTTTAAAATCCAGTTTTTGAAAATAGGTAAACAATCTGAACTTGCATTTCACCAAAGAAGTCATAAGAATAGCAAACAGATAGAAATATGCTCAACATCATAGTTGTTATGAAAATGCAAAACAATACCATTACACACCTCTCAGAAGGCCTAAAATTAAAGACTGATCATACCGTGTGTTGTCAAGGATGTGAAAAAAAGTGGAACTCTTCTACTTACTCTTCTAGTAATCTAAAAATGATGCAATGACCTTGGGAAAGCAGTTTGAGTTTTTTTTAAAAAGCATTTTCTACTAGATAATCTACATAACCCAGGAATTCCATTCATGGGCATTTACCAAGAAAAATGGAAGCAAAGGTGCATATCAAGACTTGTACATAGGGCTGGGGTTTTAGCTCAGTGGTTCTGCCACCTGCTTCGCAAGCACAAGGTCGTGAGTTCAATCCCTGGTACCAAAACCAAAATCAAAACAAACAAACAAAAACCTTACAAGACCTGTACATAAATGTCCATAGCAGCTTCATTTGCAATAGCCAGGTTGTGGGAATAAACTAGGTATCCATCAAGAGTTGAATGAATAAGCAGGGCTGGGGATTTATTTAGCTCAGTGGTGCCACCTCCTGCCTCACAAGCACAATGTCCTGAGTTCAATCCCCGGTACCAAAAAAAAAGAGTTGAATGAATAAGCAAAGTGTTAAGTAGCAGAATGCTCCCCAGCAATAAAAAGATTAATTACTGACACATACTAAATATATATAAATCTCAAAATAATTATGCTGAATGAAGCCAGAAGTCTTTCCCAATGACAACATCAAAAGAAAACTGAGGACAGCCTGTGTGATTCCATTTATATAAAATCTTGGAAAATGCAAAGTACTCAGATCAATGATTGGCTAGAGATGGAGTAGTAACAGGAGATGGCAGAAAAGTAGAGATTACAAAGGGGAATAAAGAAATTTTTGAGGTTCACTATCTTGATTATAGCAATGGTTTCATGGGTATAAATATTTGTCAACACTTCTCAAGTTGTATATTTCTAATGTGCGATGATGTATCATTTTAGTTTTAATTTACATGTTCTTAAAGACTAATGAAACATTGGTACACATTGGATCACTTAGGCTTGTAGCCCATGAGAGGGAACTGGGCTGGATCAAGAGGTCTGGAATTGTAGAAGAGATCATGCGTGCAGTTTACAAAGTTTACCACTGATTCCAGAGAATCCCATGGTCTCTGATAGCAAGAATTCCCATGGTGACATTCCCAACAGGTGTGAGGCAGCCCTAGTACCTTGGGTCCACTGCGGGACCTGCAGGGGCTGGTAGCCTTCAGAGAACAAGAACATGACCTTATTGGCTGTGGCCCCAAAGGCAACTCCATACGACCATCGGTTACTAAAAGTTCCCACGAAGTCCAGAGGCCTGTAGACAACAGAAACAGCTCGTGAGGGCAGAGGATGACTGTGAGACGTCATTTCCACAGATCATTTCCAAAATAGCTTTCGCAACTGGAGGAGGAATTACTGGATGGTGAACTATTTTATTGCAACTGAAGTCTTTTGCTGGGCTTGGAGCTAGCTATGGATTTAGGGTACTGAAGTGAAGAAGACAAATTTTTTTCCCCTGGGGGAGCTCCACATCTAGTAGGGGATGCAGCCAAGATGCTAGTAGCTATAACACAAGGCAAAAAAACAAAAACCCAGCAGATACAAGAACATTCTGATCTTCATGCTATCTTTGAAAAACAAAAGAGGAAGCCAAGCATGGTGGCACACACCTGCAATTTCAGCACTCCTTTTAAGGCAAGAAGATTGCAAGTTTGAGCCTGCCTAGGAAACTTAGCAAGATCTTGTCTCAAAAATATAAAGACCAGATATGTAACACAATGTTAAGACCTTGAGTTCATCTCCAGTATTGAAAAAAAAACCAAGAGATGAAATTTCCATGTGAAAGATGCCTTTCAACATAGAGGGAAAATAATATTCTTATTATCAAGGATGGGAAGTTAAGATTGAGAATTCTGCACAGATCTTATTAAAATAATTTATCCTCTAGTCTCTCCATATCATTCAATTACTTTTCCACTACTTATATTTTTTGTCTACTTCAATACATACAAGTTTAACTTTAACTGCATCTTTGGATCTTCATTTCTTTATGAGGGTATCTGTGTCATGTAAAACTTACAGTAAATACAGTTGTATGCTTTTCTCCTGCAGACCTGCTTTATGTTGATTTAATTCTCAGGTGTAACTGGAAAACCCTAAGAGGTCAGAGGTGAAATTTTACCCTCCCTCTGTGAGCATGACTTCCTGATCACAATGGACTGGGCCATGGGTCACCACCTGACTTTGGTTAAGCCAGACAAATACTTAGTCTTCTATTTTGGGTTTGTGAGCCAGCTAGCTGTTAAAGATCTGGTCTGCAAAATTACACCACAGGGGGATCAGAGTCAATGCTAGAGGAAAGCCAAGGTCACAGGGAAGCAGAGACCCTAAGCCAGATAGCAAAAAAGAACATAGCAAAATGGTGCTGGGGGGGCCCTGCTAACATGGTCAGCAGAAAGAGAAAAAATTAATCTCTCATAGATTCTCATTTCTAGAGAGCCAGTCCCCAAGAGGCCATCTTTGTTTCCATGAAATATTAGCAACTTAATTAAAGAAAATAATCTTTTTCCTTTCCTGTAAATAAGCTGGAGTGGATATGTATTTTTTTCTAACCAAGAGTATCTTATCTATCTCGGAGTAAATAATTACATTTGGGAAAAGAGAAAGCCTCTCCAATCCAAAAGACCCATTTGAACTTAGGGCCTTAGTGAGCACTCAGATGGCCAAAGATCAGGGCCTTGCAAGCAAAAAGTCCTGCTAGTCATAACCTCCTTCTCCCAGAAAGCTCAGCCACTGCCACTCAGCTGCCTACTCTTTGTTTCTCAGCACTATGTTCATGCCTTGTCTCGGCACACCTTCCTTTATGTCACCACATGCTTAGGAAACTATAAATTCAACTGGGGTGGGACCTAGTACAGGACTTTTGAAACAGTCTGTGCTCAGTGAAAGTTTGCAAGGTGTATTTTGTTGAATCAAATTCCAGTCAACACTAATTCATCCACACTAAGCACTATGTGAGACCCAGTTTCCCTACTCTAAAACAGAGATGGAAACCCCTACTTTCTGCTCATCGTAGAGCCATTGTAGACAGCCACTGAAGAACTGTAAAGTGTCATGTGCTCAAGCTGAGTTATTACTGGGTGAAGATGTTAGGCCAAAATTACTAAGAGAAGCAAGAATTGTGATGGGAAAGGGGCCAGCGAGCAAATCAAAAGTGTCATGATCAACTTAATTCAAAGAAGTTTAATGTAATTGCTACAGAGCTCCTACTACTTTTTAAGTCATGTACCAGTCCCTGCATACCAAATAGTCAGGCTAGTCTTAGGATCTTTATACAACAGCCTCATTATTTATTCTTTGCCTCTATCAATGTGGCTTGCACCAGACAATGTGCTAGGGGCCAACTGTCCCAGTGGGGAGTATCCAGAATGAGTCTGGCTGCTACTTAGGTCTGGTGCTTAGTATCCTTGAACATTGTGGCTGGACTTTCTTCAGTCCCGGCATCCTGGCTTCCTCTTCCTTCTCCAGAAGCAAAGACTGAGACCTCAGAATGTCCACAACTGGACCACGTTATGACACTATAGGAATCAGAGAAAATGTCAGACCAATCTAGGTTAAAACTCTTGTCATTTGTAGTATGGTGGCCTTGGGCAAGTCATTTACTTCTCTCTCTGGACCTAAGTTTTCTCATCCGCTATATAAGGATAAGAACCTACACTGTGCTGCACAGGCAAGAAGGCTTATGAAACTAATGTAAGTGAGGCAAATGGCTCAGGACTGGGGTCACAGATGTGCAATAAATAACTCTGCAATAGTGATGATGACAACAATAATGATGATGGTGATGATGATCATGGTGATAGGGTAATGAGGAAGATTAATTAGAACTCAAGGAAAAGAGTGATAAGGGATGCAGAGATTCTGAATGTCAGAGCTAGAAAGGGCCTGAAACTCCCCTGGTCCAGTGGGATTTGGTGCATGATTCATGGTACCATCCCAGCAAAGAAGCTCTCTGCCTTTAGTCATGGGAACTCCCTTCCGCCTGTTTCCTGAGTGTGGAAAGGCCTTTTTCACAGTGGCCTGAATCTCCATTAGAAGCTTCATTCATATCCAGGCAGCCCCCTGGGTACTGAGAGTTAAATGGCTTGGAAGCCCATTCTGCCTTCTCAGAGATTTGTCTGGGTTGAAGAAGGGATAGGCAGGGATGAGCATGGTTGGGGAGAAGTTGTGGGGACACTTTGGAGCAACCTGGCTTTCTGATTGGCATCGGCCCAAACCACAGGGTATCCCAAGTTGTAGCAACTGACCCTGACTCAACTCACATGATGATTCCAAAGTGGCTCCCCAGGAGGTAAGTGGTATCATCTTTCTCTCTACGGTGCTCTTGTCTTTGGAGGAAGGATAAGACCAAAATGATGAGAAACTGTAAGAAAAGATGAGCAAGTTAGTGGGCTGTTCGTCCTAAGCATAGTCTTGGTGTCCTCACAGAAAGACAATGTGTAGGTGAGAAGAACACTTGGTCCAAGACATCTCTAGTCCAGAATCATGAGCTGGCTACATACATGTGAGCTGCCAAAATGCTTTGCATTCAAGTTTCCTTTGTGTTGCCCTGATCAGACATAGGTTCAAATGGAACCTCTCCCACATTCTGCCCAGAAGGAACTCCTAGCTTCCCTGAACCTTGGTTTTTTTCATCTATTAAAAGACAGTAATGTCTATCAGACTGCAAATCCTTCTCTGCTGTGTTCCTGTGGATTCAGTCATGTTCTCATGTACTTGATACACTTTCCTTTGACCAGAAATTTATTGAGTTGTCTATACCTGCTGTCTCCATCTCCTGGCCTCTTACTAGCTCTTTAACCCCCTTACTTTGGTTTCTACCCCATCACTGCATTGAAACTGCTATGGCCAAGGTCACTACTGGCCATCTTGTTCCTCAATCCAATTATGCTTTAAACCCAAATCCAGCTTGGTCTCTCAGCAGCATGCCTCAGTGCTGATCACTTCCTTCTCTCAGCAACACTCTCCCCTCAGCTTCTGTCTACTACGCTTTCTGCTTTTCCTCCATTACTTTTCAGTCTCCTTTGCTAGATTCTTCCCCAACTCCTAGATTTAGAGTGCTCATGGCTCCATCCATTGGGCACTTTTCTTTGTACCTGGTCTTTTCCTCCTCGGTGCTCTCATCCATGTTCATGCTTTTAATGATCCTCAAGACACAGAAGACTCAAACCTGCATTTCTATCCTAGCCCTTGCCCATGGCTGTGAAACTGTGAGTCTACATAGTTGATATTTTTTTCTGGTATGTTGAAAACACTTCAAGTTCAGTATGTCTTAAATGAAGCTCACAATTTCCCTCCCTGTCCTATTCCTTCATCAACACCAAACCAGGATCACTTCTAATTTTCTATAACTAGTGAATGGCAGCTGCCACTCTCCTTCCAGCTGTGCAGAAACCTAGGACCATCCCCAGACTCTCCCTCTCCCTAACTATCCTGCCCAACCTCCTACTGTTTTCACTTCCCAGTATCTTGAGTTGACCACTGTCATCTAGGATGAGCTAAAGCTACCTCTCCCCAGGCATCTGAAACAGACTCTTAGTTGGTCTTCCAGCCCTTTGCATTACCCATCTCCAGCTTGATCTCCATGTTAAGCAAGAGCGAGCTTTTATATTTTTTTCCCATTAAGTTTACTGGTACATTGAAGTCAAATAATACAGTTACATGTATCATTGGGATCTTGTACCTTTACATGATGTATCTTGGTTCTTATATTTTCCCCATTCCCGTGCCCTCCCTTCACCCCCTTCACCCTTCCCTATTTACAAAGGCTTTGTTTCCATTTTTTCACATCTTTTCTTTTCCCTTCTTTCCTTTCTCCTACCCTTCCCACTTCCCTTTAGCCACTTTGTTCTTATTTTACACTATCAATCATACCATTTGACTTATTTATACTTTTAGTTTTTCACACCAGAGAAGCTATTCAGTATTTACTCAAGTGTGTCCTATTTATTTCACTTGAGAGTATAGCCTCCATGTGCATCCATTTAGCTATAAATGTCTCTAGCTTCTCATTCTTTATGGCTGAGTAGTACTCTATTTTATAGAAAAACCACATCTTTATCCAGTCTCCAGTTAAGAATGAGCTTTTAAAAACATATGTCTGATCACATCAATCCCACACTAAAAACACTTCAATTACTTTCCATTGTAACAAAAAGAAGACAAAATCCACTACAGAGTCCCACGGGGCTTTTCTTGGGCTGGACCTGCCTACCTTCCCAGACTTCCCATGTCAGCCGTCCTGGCTTTCTCGGTTCCCTGCACTCTCCATGCTTCCTCCTTCCATAGTTCTTTACTGCATCTTCTGGCAGACTGTGGCTCTATCTTTACTTCCTCAGAAAGGCTTTTTTTAATTCCCCTATAAATCAGAATCCCGATGAGAATCTTAAAAGATTTCTTCCACCTGTTTTTGGTGCACAATGTAAGAAAATTGAGCCAAAATTTAGGAATCCCAACTGGAGTCTCTCCCTAACATATTCAGGTACCTTTGGGCGCCTGTGTAGCACAGCTACTCAATTTCTCTCTCCTTCTATTATGGCTTGTACCTAGATGTCCCCCCTAAAATCACATGTGCTCATAGGTGGCGCTTTTTGGAGCTGGCTGGATCTAGGATATGTGATACTGGGATTAATGGTGTGTGGTACAAAATTAGTTCACTGTTTGGCTTAGCATAGTTCTGGGTATGGATAATGGTAAGGTCCATCCTAGGTGTGGGTGTTACCACCCAAAAAGCTTATAGCCTAGATGGGATAAAAAGGAAAGGGAGGCTTACTGCTTGCTGCCTCCTGCCTGCTCTGCCATGAACTGTTTCTCCTCTGCAGTGCCCTCCTGCCATGCTGCCCTGCCTTGGAGCCAGCTAACTATGGAATGAAACCTCTATAACCTGTGAGCTGAAATAAATCTTTCTTCCTTTAATTCATGGGTGTTTGGTATTTTTTCCCAGCAACAAGAAAAGTAACTAAGATACCTCCCCTCTATTTACTTACTGATGGGATGAGGGAATAATGGAGAAAGACCTCCATGTCCACTGAATGTGTACAGGTGACATTTAGCTGTCTGGTGCTGAAAAAAGGCAAAAAAACAGTCACATTTATATAATTAGCCACAGCTGGATAGGGTGACACACATTTGTAATCCCAGAACTCAGGAAGCTGAGACAGGAGGATTGCCATGACCAAGGCCAGCCTGGGCTACATAGTGGGTTCAAGAACAGCCTGAACTATATTGTGAGACCCTGTCTCAAAAAACAAGAAAACAAAATAAAAACAACATATAATCAACAGTGACTGCTAAATTAATTCTTTAGCCTTGAGCATTACTGTTAGGAGTTTGGCTTATTATTTATGATCTTTTTTAGCTTTGTTTTCTCAGAACCAGGGTTGCTCACCTACTGTATGACTTCTTCAAATGGATTAATCTTTTTCATTTCTTTTTCCAGCTCATTTATTTACCCAACAACTGGAACTAACTCCTTCATTTCTTTCTTTTTTTTATATTAGTACATGATTGCAGTACATGCGGTTTACAATCATCTTGGGGACTAAATACATATATAATATAGCTTCGTTCTTTTTTTTTTGAATCCCCTTCCCTCCCACCTCCCTCCCTCTTCTAAATATCCTTTTCTCATTTCTGTTCTTATTGATATTACTAATCTTATCTCTCACGTTTATGACACATAATGTTTATGTAATGTTTATATTCATTGAGGTTATTAGGTTCTTGTTCATGACATATCTTTATTCTACTTATTTTCTCTTCCTCACTGCTTCCCTTTTTCATTTCTTGATGACATAGTTAGAAGCATATTCAGATTCTACAGGCCCCAAAGCTTACATAATTTGGGTGCTCCCTTTAAATAAAACTACAAAAAAATATTCATTTTTCATAATTTAAGGAAAACATGTGATGTATGACTTAACTGGGGTCCCTCTCACCCTTCCAAAGCTTTGGAAAGGTCTTGTGTGAGTGAGGGGTACTGAAATTGAGGCCTCACTAGCTTCACGGGAAACCAGTTTGTGGACATGCCTTTCCACGGCCGGGTCAGGATGCACCAGCTGGGCTGCGGGGTTGGAGAGGCCATCAGGCTACACTCTGCAGACTTTGTCCACTCCAGTCCTGCTGTCTGTGGGACAGGGCTGGAGAGGTCCCGTGTCTGAAACACATGGCAGTAGTTTCACTGCTTCTTTTTGAAAGAGATCCTCTCCTTTCTGGGGCTCCCACGCACTTTGTTTTCCCTGTTCTTGCTTCCATGACATCACCACAGCCCACTCTATCACACCTCCAGATCTTTGCACATGCTGTCCCTGATACTCACAGCATCCATCTAGCCATCTCCAGGGCTTTCTTCCCTGGCCACTGACCACTGTTCTCTCAGAAGCATGAAGGAAGCACTCTTCTAAGCAGTCCAGGAGCATTACACGCTTCCCTGTAATTCTTTAAAATGCCAATACCCCATGGTTAAGTCTAACCCTCAATCTGGAACATCCAATCAGTGGTGGGGTAAAGGTGGGTAAGACTCAAGCTGTTAGGAATGTAATAGGACTATAAAGTCTGCTCTCAGGAAAGTAAACTAAACCCTTAATCAATATAATTCATCCCATATAAAATAAGTGGAAAGAGGGAAGGAAGGATGGAAGGAAGGAAAGAAGGAAGGCCAGCCATAGCCACACTGAAAGCAAGAAGGGGATCTATCAAGGCCACAAACTAATGAAAATCCTGAACAATGGGGATTGACTGAAACTATATCAAAGACAAAAAGTACCAGCCAACACAACCACAGGTTGTTGGGTCATGCAGAAAGTATTCCATGCCTTTGTATAAGAAGCAAAAAGTGACACCAGAATAGACCACGTAGAATGATAAACTGGGGTCTTACAAAGACAGCAATAAGATAGGATGCTTTGCCCAAGCCCTGTTACCTCGGCTTACTGTCCAGGGGCAATGGGGTTTATGTCTTCAGGGAGTAGAATACATGGTTCACACAGAGAAAGGCAGTCTCCTAGATTGTAGGTAGCACCTGGTAGGAATCAGGAGATTGGGCATCCAGGAGCCAGCTGCTGAAGTACCTTACATCATTTTTAACCAGAAATAGGGTCAGACTAAACTTGCTTTTTAACAATGTAATAAACAAAGGAGATTTCCTATACCAGTATACATAAACACATCTAATTCTTTTTGATGGATGACACTGCTGAGCAGATTCTCTGTGGGGCCAATCTCCTCCCTGAAGAGACTGAGCTGGGAGGTAGTCTTTTAGCAACAAGTGAGCTCAGAAAAGACCCATAGGAAACTCCCTAAGTAAAGGGTCTGGAGGCACCAAATCTAGCCCCCTTATTAACCTCCAACTCCAGCAGCCACTGTAGTAAACAGATGGCACATATGAAAGAGTCAACCCAAGTGAAAAGGCCACTAAGACCCATGTCCCACAATGCTTCCTGCTCGGGTCAGGGCTGCTTGGGCGGATGTGCTGAAGCTAAAGGGCAGTGGCCCAGCCATTCCTCTAACTGTAGAAGAGCTTCTGGACACTGAAGAGTGGCTGGAAAATGCTTTTGTGATGTACTGTTAAGCAAAAAAAATTCAAAATAAAAGATTATGAAATGAATTGTGAAGAGTGGCCATCTCTGGATGGAACTGGAGGCCATTCTAGTTTCTTTTTCTTTATGTTTTTCTGAGTTTTCCAGGAATGGTACAACAGAGATGTAGTACTTGACAGCTGCATTATCTATCCTGTGAACGTAAAGCAGCATCTGACACAAAGTAGGTGATAATAAACAGGAGTGAATTAATAGGTTGCTTTTGCAACCAAGAGAAGACTGCATGTTGTCTGAAAGCAATAGAACACACTGTTTTGAAAGGAAGACATCCATGAAATCCGCATTAAATGAAACTATTCAAAGTTTGTTCTATGATAGGGCAAAACTGACAAATCTATCATTAAGGTAAAAGCAATTGAATATGAGAGCTCTGTTGGCCAATCTGAGTATTAACATGTATACCTAGAGCACAGTCATCTTTACTCCCCTCACTTCTCCAACATGCCAGACTATCTGCCAATGGTATGGGGGGGAGCCCCCCACAGCCCTCCTACTTCCTTTAGTCCTAAATTGATCAATGTATGGTAATAAGTATATGAGATTATATTCCATTGACTGACATAACTTTATTGTGTGTCACTATGTCTTAGGCACTCTTTATTATCTAATGTAATCTTTATAAAAACTTTGAGATAGGTTTATTAGCTGCTTTTCAAAATGAGGAACTGAAGCCAGGAAAATTCTGATACCTTGCCAAAGAGAAGGGAAGGTTGCAGCCAGGGTCTCCTGCAGTCACCCTCCTGTGCACTCAGCTGCAGGCTTATCTGTCTGCTCTGTTCCTAGCTTCTAGACTTCCCTGGCCTTTGGACTGTTGCTGTCACTGATCCTGAGTCTCTCTCAGCACCTGACACAGAGAGGCTCAGGGGAGGTTTGTTAAATCCCATGGAAATCTAAACCAGGAAGCTTCAGCCCAGAAAGGAACAGGGATCGGGGAATGTTATGCAGCGGGTACTATTCCAGGTCCTATTCAGTGATCTCAGTGAGCAGAGTGGAATGGATCCTGCTGGCCAAGCGAGAAGGTTAGAAGAGGAGAAAGAGGTGCAGACTGAGTGTGAGTGTGTGTGTGTACATCCATGTGGTGCCTCTGGCGGCACAGCAGCCTGTGTTGGGAAGCCTGCTTCTGTGAGATCCCAGGAATCTGCAGATCCCTACCTTGGAGCTCTGAGGTAGACACGGCAATGTGCTGAGAAAAATCAGCTAAGCCTATCAGGAATTTGCAGCAACACAACTGCCAAAAACTGAATTATATAAACTTGTAATTAAATGAGTTATATCAATGAAAAAAGAGGGCCGGGGATTTAGTTCAGTGGTTCTGCTGCCTGCCTCACAAGTGCAAGGACCAGAGTTTGATCCCTGGTACCAAAAAAACATAACAAAACAAATAAAGACTCAAAACTCATCCCTTCCTCATTGTTTGACCACCTTGTACTATTTATTATCTATGTTTCCACCGCCTGTGTCTGTCTAGAGGGTGGAAACACTGTTGGTGACCTAAGTCACTGAAGGACTAATTACACCCCAAAAATCTGTAATCATTACAAATCAGGGTGCAGTTTATTGTTTTGTAGATTGTCTACTCGGTACATAGAAAATGTTAATAATGCAGATTTTAAAACATGCTGTTTGTACCCATTACATTGTAAACAACAAGAAAAAAAACCCTGAAGAAATATTGCAGGATTCAAAATGTTTGTCCCATTCAGCAAAAAAAAGTTTTGATCAACTGATGAACAAGTGAAATTCTATCATCTTACTTTGTTGCTTCACATTTGTCTTACTCATTAATGTAAACACAAACCTCAAACAACATTTGTGTTGAAACTATGCTCATTGATCAGGTGCAATTGCCGGCTGGCTATAGAAACAAGGGCTCAGCAAAAATCAATGAAAGCATTCTGTGGGAATTAATTGGCTACATGGAATTTGTAATAAAGAACAGTATATATTTTATTATTATTTTGTGTGATATCTGTTATAGGAACACAGCTTACAACAAATTTATGAATAAGTCTGTGCCCTTTTTCCCCACTGGGAGCGAGTTGTTAGACTTTTCCCAGCATGCCACTGGCAGATGTGGTCCTGGCCTTGGACATGGCTTGGAAGAAGGAGAATGTTTCAGTTTGGAGCACAGAGGTAAATATTAACTATACTTTAGGGGACAGTGGAGTTTAGCATGCAGAACCTAGGAAGAAGCCAGTGCTTATCCTCCCCTCTGCACTGCAGTCTTCTCCCTACTCTGTAAAAGGGGTAGAATGGGCCAGATGGGTGTTTCTCAAATTTTTGACAAGTCACATTGCACATGATACACAGTTATAACTATGACTTGTTTCTGATGACTTTGCTAGGGTCATCCATTCCTGAAGGCCTCAAGCAGACGACACATTCGGCAAGTATGTCTTTGTGCTGCTGGTCCCTAGTCCCAGGATCTTGCTCAGATGTGCACATGGACAGTGAGGTCATCTGGAA